GGTATCCCACACCATATGACGTCATGCCCAGTGTATAAGCTGGGGGAAGAAGAAAGAAGGGGGGGACGTTCAGAGCGATGGCGTTTGCCTTCCCAAGTCGCTGTTATGTGTGATGGAGCCCTGCTTTCCTGGAGATGGCTGAGCGCTTGCCTGCGATGGGAAGGAGGGAATGAATTCCTTTCTTTGCTTTGCTTGCACACGTGGCTTTTGCTTTCCCTATTAAACTGCCTCTATCTCAACCCATGAGTTTCCTCACTTTTACCTTCTGATTGTCTCCTCCATCCCGCATTTTCCCAATTGAGAAAATGGCTGTGCATAACTGAGTTGGCCCTGTAAATCTTGCATGTGCTGTTTGGGTGGGATTTTATCTTCTCCAGGGCAGACAGTCCCTGAGCTTTGCTCTTTGCAGGCTGCTCAGCAGGGTCAGCCTCAGAGTGCGAGGACAAGAGCGTCTGCTGGTGCCTCAAGACAGGAAAGTGCTTCACACTTGATGGCAGTAAATGATCTTTGTGCCTGAGGACAAGCGTCTGGTGATTTGACGCGCTCACCCCCTCCACGGCCACGCTTGCCTGTAACACTGGGACTCCCTGGGGACTGAGGGACCACTGTTGTCCCAAGGAGCTGGGGAAAGGGAGGAAACAAGTCTGTCGTCCTGTCCCATGGACGGTGTGTCTGGGGGAAGAGTGGGTCCATGGCATGCAGCACTTACCGTCCGTGAGGTGGGTGGTGCCGAGGGGCTCGTGAGCGAGACCATCTCCTGGATGGCCAGACGCAGCTTCAGGCGATGCAGTGCGTTGCTGATGCCGATCTCCCTCTGGATTTCAGTGTCAGACAGGGCTGACATGATGGCTCCGCTCTTCACGTTGGCTCGGCAAGCAGCAACGTACCAGGCCGGCATCCCCACCCAGAGCTGCCAAAACAGGGCAAAGCCAGTGACTGCTCAGTTGACCTACCCTAACTTCCTCTGGTAGGATCAAGGCCACCCTGTTTGAAGCTCAGTATCAAAGCTGGATACCCATGCGGGGCTTGCTTTTGTTTGTACCTTGCACAGATGGCCTGCGGGCAACCCAGCACCCCTATATCTGAGGGACTCA